CCACTCTAAATGCGGTCTGGCTGTTCAGTGTGTTCTTACACTTTCTGCTATTTTCCTTCGCCCACTTTCTGTTGTTCATCCCCTGATGTGTGTGTGTGTGTGTGTGTGTGTGTGTGTTCCCCTTTCAATGAATTCCAGGATGGGTCAATCAACAGAGACAGTCACTGGCTTCATGGGTTTGGGTGGGGAAGTTGGTGGGGAATGGGGAGCTTACAACAGTGAGCACAAGAGAGAAGACGATGCTCCACACCTGCTTGTGGTGGTAATGATTGTCCAACTCTTCCTGAGATGACCGAACTACTGAGTTGTAATGATGAGTGAGTTATGAGCTAAAAGTGGTTTTTAAAACTGAAAGATAATAAGGGATTTTTTTAAAGACGTAATATGGTTAGACGCAAGGTGGGTGGGTGGTTTGGAATACAGTTTCCTTTCACGACCTAACGCGTGGATTTCAAGAACTCTATCTTGCTGTACTAGACCTCTCTAAAGAGTCACAGGGCAAGGATGTTACTCGGAGGACTGAAGTACACCTGACCCAAGCCAAGGCATTTCCTGTCACCCCATGGGCATATGAAAGACGGACACAGAATAAGGAAGACCCAAGAGGAATCAATGCATTTGAATTGTGCTGGTGGAAGTATATCGAATGTACCATGGACTACCAAAAGAACACACACGTCTGTCTTGGAAGAAGCATTAGCTAGAGTGGTCTTAGAAGCCAGGGTGATGAGACTCTGTCTCGCGTCCTTGGGACATCACATCCTTGGGACATATTCTTGAGACAAGAAACAGAACCGGTGCCTTGCTGAGACGGATCAGCACAGTGAGTGCCGCGCGTGGGCTCAAAGGGAACAATCACTGTGAAGACAGTGTAGGGCCGGGGAGTGTTCGGTTCTGTTGGACACGGGGTGCTGATGAGGCAGAACCGTCGACAGCAGCAGTGACAACACCTCTCTCCAACGTCGGGGCCCAGACGTTGCCCACAGGCCTCCTGACGCCACGTTCCGAGAAGGGCGTGGTAGGTCTGACAAAGACGCAAGACTGAAATCTGTTGCTGGCGGGTATTCGGCAGGTCGGTCCTGTGACGTCATGGCTCATCGGGATGCTTGCGCCCTTCCCTGCTCAAGGTCACCCGAGAAAAAGACTGACAGGCTGTTCCAGGTGGAAGGGGACGACAGACTCACGATGACTGCAGGCAAGGGGCGATCCCGGTTTGGGCCTTTGATTGGGACCGTGGTTGTGAGAGACGGTCCAATGGGAACACGGCTCACAGAGCGGAGGGCAGGATGGGGTCGCTCTTGCTCATCTTGATACGGATAACGGCGCGGTTGTTAGGCACCATCCTGCCCGTTCTGACCCATAGCAACTCTGCACACAACAGAAGGAAATACTTCCCCCTGTCCTGCATCGTCCTCGGGACTGTCCCTAGGCCTGAGAACCCATGGTTGCAGGCAACGTGTCAGGCCATCCCCGGGGGCGGGCCTTCCTCTCCTTCACCGCCCTCCACTTTACCGAGCATGATGTCCCTCTCCAGGGACTGGTCTCTCCTGACGACGTGCCCAAAATATGCGAGATGAAGTCTAGCCATCCTTGTCTCTAAGGAGCACTCTGGCTGCGCCTCCTCTACGACAGATGGGTTTTTCCTTTGTGCAGTCCATGGTACTTTGAGTATTCTTCTCCAGCACCGCGATTCAAGGACATCGACTCTTCTTCGGTCTTCTTTATTCAATACCCAACGTTCACATGCATAGGAGGTGATTAAAAATACCCTGGCTGGGGTCAGGTGCAGCTTCATCCTCAAAATAACATCCCTGCTTAAAAAATGAGGAGCTGACATCAAGGCCTCAAGTAGAAAGAAAATGCTTTGAAAATAATGATGGCAACATATGTACAAATGTGCTGGACACAATGGATGAATATATGGATTGTGGAGCTGTAAAAGCCCACAATAAAAGTATTTAATAAAAAATAGATAAAAATAGAAATTAACTATAATTCTCACTGGCTCACATGACATTTTAATAGGAAAAAGCTTGAGACAATTTTGGAAATATTTAAATGAACACAGACAATGGATTTTAATTATCTTATGAGGAGCTGATACCAAGAGCTCAAATTTTAAAAAACTGTTTTAGAAATGATGATGACAACATATGTACAAATGTGCTTGATATGATTGATGTATGGGTTGTTATAAGAGCTGTAAGAGCCCTCAAAAATGATTTATTAATTTTTTTAAGTTAAAAAAACCAATATCCTTGCTTTTCAATTCTCTAAGGAGGTCTTGTGCAGCAGATTCACCCCATTGCAATGAGTCGATTTCTTGACCGCTGTTTCCATGATCAGTGGCTAGCAGCTCGGAAAGTTTGGGAATCACGCTGAAATAGTTAGGGGTAAAGGGGGTATGGTATCTGCAACTTATTCCAAATGATCACCAAAATGAACGAGTATGCTCTTTTATGCATAAAGCACAGACATGCAATGATATGGCTATAAATGATGGAAAGATGGCTGGATGGACATAAGGCAGGGTGGATGTATGCATAATGGGTGAAGTGGGGTAGCATAGTGGGGCCTCCTTGTGCTGGTCTGTAACTTCTCTATATGTTTGAAAGTAAATCAAAATAAATGTCCCCCCAGAGGACACCCTCTTAAAGAACGACAATGCCGCTTCAGACCCCATGTCTCAAGCACTGCCAGTGTCCAAAACAGGTCCTGGGAGCCAGGCAGACACAAGTGGATAGGGGGCAGCTACTGGGACTCTCACAAGAACTGTGACAGGGAAAGATTTAAATGTGTGTCTCTGTTGAGCCACTGCTTCAGAAAGACGTGAACATGCTTGTGTGACTAAATTAGCGAATTAAATATCATCAATGGACATAACAAGTTTACCTATATCCTCAGACCGTTATATATTCAAGTTGTGCCTCCTACCCTCCACTTGAAATTTTTTTAAATCTTTCCTTTGGGGAAACATGGAATTGCTTTCTACTGGGGCATCATTGTTGCCATGGAGACAGCTCCCACCCGTGGCAACAGACAACATGATAACAGGCCCGGGGCCAATCTGCATGATCTTGAAACCCTTTGAGCCCATTTTTGTTTTAGATTCTAACACCTCATATAAATGTGTGACCTGCTCACCACAAGGTCAGTAGTTCAAATTCATCCGCCATCCCTAGGGAAGGAGATGAGGTTTGTTTGCTCCCATGAAGGTTTGTAGTCTCAGGAACCCAGAGGGGCAGCTCTACTCTGTCCTGTAGGGTTGCTGGGTGTTGGGATCAACTCAATGGTGGTGAACTTGGTTTGAATGGCATGTGTCCATGGATTATCCCTCCCTTCTGCTTTTTTTAAGCGGTTTTCTCTGATGTTTCTCAGCCAACTACAGAGAACTCCCCTAAACCACCTTCCCCTCAGACTCAGCCAATCCAGAGCTGTGGAGGAATGACCCAGAGGGCAGACAGAGCCTAGACCACTATTCACCCCACAGGTTGACCCAGACTCTGCTCTGCTGAGCGGCGCCCATGCCACCCTGGCCCAGTAGGGGCACACATGCCGCCTGGCCGCCCCCTCACCTGTTGGAGGTTGTTGTCCGTCTCCAGCTGGCCCAGGGACCGTCTGATGCTGTCACAGGTCTCCGGGTTCTGGGAGCAGGTGGAGTCGTTGAGCGAGCGATCCAGGTGGCTCTTGATGTCACTCAGATTGGCGCTCAGCTCCCCTGCCCTGTTTCTCAGCTCCTCCAAGGTGCTGTTCACCTTCTCCAGGGCCACTTGCGTCTCTCGGATGACTGCAGGGAGACAACACACTCACAACCCAGACCTGGCTAACGGACACGCCAGGAAGACCCGCACCGCGTCATCCTGGCAGAAGCAGCCTGAGCGCTCCTCCCAGGTCTTCCTCAGCCCTGTTCTGGCACCTTCCTTGGGATCTTTCCCTCTCCGTCTGCGCCTTTGTAACTGAGCAGGCTGCTGGGTTAGCGCCCCCTTACTCTGAGTTAACTGCTGTCAGGCAAGCCCCGCCACTCCCAACAGCCCCGTGGAGGAGGGGATGAGAACACTGTGAGTTGCGGGAGCTTCCCCAGCTAATTGATCAGACGTAGACAGCAGGCTGTTCTTCCTAGAAGGTGGCACTGCCCCCCCCGCCCCCCCCAAGTTAGCTCAGTCTGATGGGGTAACAGCAATTCAAGACACCACTGTCACCGGCCTTCGATGACTTCCTGAGAGACCTGTGAGAATGGACCCCAGTAATCATAATCATAAACACAGGAGACTGCAGGTGTTTCAGAGCAGGACTGAGCATGGCAGGGTTTTCCTGGCTGTAATCTTTCGGAAGCAAATCACCAGGCTTTTCCTCCAAGGCAGCTCTGGGTGGATTTGAACTGTCAACTTTCGGTTACTCTCAGGGCCATCGAGTCGATTCTGACTCATAATGACTCTCTGGGACAATGTCTCCCAGACTGTAACTCTTTAGTAGAGTAAGTCTATGCCAGCTGCTAACTGCAAGGTCAGAGATTCAAAACCACTAGATGCTCAGCTGGAGAAAGATGGGGCTTTCCACGCCCGTGAAGAGTTTCAGTCTCAGAAAGCCACAGGGGCAGTTCTACTCTGTCCTGGAGCGTCTCTAAGGGTGGCTCTGATGAGGAAAAAATAAACACGAAAACTACTGCCACACTTTCTTTATAGGATTTCTAAGGCTTTGCAAATCTTTAGGGAAACAGCCTCATTTTTCTCCCTTGTTATGCCTGGTGGATTCGAACCACTGACCTTAAGGTTAACAGTCCAAGGCTTACCTGAGGCTCAATAAACATCTACTGTAGCAAACAAGAAGCAAAGTACACACTAATTCGAGAAATAAGCGTGCCAAAATACACTGTGTATTTCCCGCCCCGCCCCACCCCCACAGGAGAACACACCCCGCTTGCAGTTCAAGGGCGGGTAGATTTCTTCCAGTAGCAGTTTCCGCTTTGCCTCAAGGTGAGTTATTTAAAGGTCAAAAATAAACAACCAGAAAGAATGATGGATAATAAAGTAAACTGATGACCCAGAACTGTGGGTGTACTTAGGGTTCTGGGCAACAGTCTCAGTATCATTCCAGGAAGGGTTCAGAAGTAATAAAGATGTATTATTCCAGAGGTTTCTATGGAACTGTTTATGGGGTCATGACTACCAATACCACATACAAAATGCATCTGAACCCCCCAAAACAAAACACCTCCCAACTCAATATCAAGTCGATTCCGATTCATCAGGACCCTATCTGGGGTTTCTGAGCCTGTAGACCTTCACAGGGGCAGACAGCCTCATCTTTCTCCTGAGGAACAGCTGGTAGGTTTGAACCTCTGATCTGGTGCTCAGAAAACCCAATGATAATCCAATATTTGAAGGAAGTAGGAAAGAGAATCTTGGTCTTTGATTTTAGTCCATGAACATTGTGCCAGCTTACAGCCAGCCTGCAGCCCAAATACAATTTCCCCAAAGGGAATCTCCATTCTCTCCAGAGACCATTACACACATCCCTTAACCTCCAGAAGATTTTTTTGCCAAAAACTGGCTGATGCTATTTACTAAACAAGTTGTAAGAGAGCCACCGGCAACCCCAGAAGCTAAGCTTGAGGGGACACAGGCTGCCCTTAAGATACAGAACTTTGGTAACAATGCAGGGCAGAGTGAGGAGAAAAAGAGAATCTTACAGTCTACTGCATTTGCCTCTTATGCAAATGGAAATATAATTCCAGTGCTCGGAACTATTGGAATTTGGGGTGAATAATCAATTGACAGCCCAGCCATGTTACCTCGTTCACATACACTGAAAGAGAAAAATAAACCAAACTCACTGCCATTGAGTCGACTGACTCAGACAGGGTAGAGCTGTCCCTCTGGGTTTCTGAGACACTTTAAGGGAGTAGAAAGCCTTGCCTTTCTCCCACAGAGCGACTGATAGTTTCGAACTGCTGACCTTGCAGCCCAACATATAATGACCAAGGTTCCTTCGTGATCCTTAGTTTAGGGAATAGATAAATCGTGTGGAAATGCTCTTGGGAGACAGGCCTCCCAAATGCACTGACTCACAAGGGAGCTGGGATGCAGCGCTGTCTGCCTCGGATCATGTCACAGCCACACTAGTATCTGAACCCCAGCTTCTTAACTCTTAAGGACTCCTGGTGGTGTGGTGGTTGCGCTTTGGGCTGCTAACCACAAGGTCAGCAGTTCGAAACCTCCAGCCACTCCATGAGGAGAAGATGAGTCTTTCTACTACCATAGAGATCTGGAATCTCAGAAACCAACAGGGGCAATTATTCCTTGCCCTATAGAGTCACTCTGAGTTGGAACCAACTAGATGACAGGGAATTCGGAATTTAAAGCTGGACTATAAGGTGTTCCCATGAGCAGCCTGGGTTTGAACTGCTAACCTTTTAGTCGGCTGCCTTTTAGTCACCATTGTGCAATCATACCTACTGACATCAAATTGATTCTGATTCATCAAAACCCATCGCTGCCATTTAGTCAATCCAGACTCATAGCACCCCTACACTGAACACCCCCAGATGTTACCTGAATCCCATCTAGGACGGTCCAGGTAGCACAAGCTTTGTAGTGGAACTAGCCTTGAATTCCCACCTCCACCACTTACCAGCTACCCAATCTTGGACAAGCCACACGAACCTCACAGTGACAGGAGACACTGCTTGGTCCTGGCTCATCCCTATGGCCAGTTGTGATTGGACCATGGTGAGTCACAGAATTGGCATTGGTTGATTTTTATGTAAACTGATCGCCAGGCCTTTCTTCCCAGTCTTCTTAGGCTGGAGACTTCCACTGAAGCCTGTTGTGCATCACAGCCACACAGACAGATGGGCCGTGCCTGCACTGGCCATGAATCAGACCCAGATTGTGGTAGTTAGATAGATTTATGTCAACTTGAAGATGTATCAAGGTGTAGGGGTGATGTCCGACCTGTCAATCAGGTCACAGCCTGACGGTGCCTCCTTGAAGTGGCCTCTAGTTACAATGCATGAAATTTATCTCCAAAATTCCCCAAACAAAGGAGATGGATGGATGGATGGATGCAAGAATGGGTACGTCAATGAATGGATGGATGGATGATGAATGGATGAAGGAAGAATGGATGGTGGGTGGGTGGATACATGGAAGGAAGGCTAGACAAAAGGAAGGAAGGAAGGAAGGAAAGAAAGAAAGAAAAGAGGGAGAGAGGGAGGGATAAGAAGGAAGAGAAAGAGGTGTCCACAGATTATACCAGTGGCAGGTTGGGGGGGCGGGGGGAACAAAATGTCTTCATGGTAAATAAAAGTAAAAGGTCAGGAAGCTTGACATTTTAAAAGCAGTGGCTTAGTAAGCAAGGCGAGCCTGTGACCGCACACAGTATAGTTTCAACTTGACAGCTAGTGAAGTTCCAGCGTTCTAACCTTACATGTGCTAGGTATGGGCTGCAGGCGCCTAGCGCATCCATTCAGGAACTGATAACCCACTCCCCTCCCGGCACTGTGCGCA